AGTGGCCGAAAAATGGCTCGTGAGCTGAACGTATCACCATATTCCATTCCATTCCGGCAAATATTGAGAAATGTGCTCGGCGTAAAGCCATTGAAATTCCAAAAAGTGCAAGAACTTACACCGCAACGGAAAGAAAATAAACTCAAAAGAGCTAAAGAGTTGCTTCGCTTGGCCGAAAGTGGTGAACTGCCCAATTTGGTTTTCTGCGATGAGCTGTTTGTAAACAAACAAAATGATCGTGTTTACTTGCCAAAGAGGTCAGCTGAAAGTGTGCACCTTCGGTTGGCCAACAGAACTCAAGCTCCGGCCATGGTGATGGTGAGGGCCGCCATAACAGCCGATGGTCGCTCTTCGCTCGTATTAATCGACCGTGGCATCAGAATAAATGGCGAATATTATCGCGAAAATATTCTGGGGGGTGTATTAAAGACTTGGGCACGCAAACAGTTTGGCCGCAGACCTCGGACAATCCAACAGTACTCATCACCATCGCACTCAGCACGCGCCACCCAAGAACGGTTACAAAATGAGGTTACTCGCTCCATTTCCAGCGCACAATGGCCACCAAAATCTCCGGATAACAATCCGTTGGACTATTGTGTCTGGAGAATTTGGAAAGCAAAAAATACCAAAGTGTCGATCACCTCAAGCAAGCGCTTCGCCGGGAATGGGCCAATACACCGATGAGCAACATTCGGGCAGCGTGTGACGGTTTCAACTTATTCTAAAATTTGATGCTTTTTCCGACAGTTTCCGAATTTAAAAAAAAAAAAAAATTAAATTATGGCGTTTGACTGTGTTACAGTTTTTTTTATCTCTTCCTGTAGTTTTTTTTTTTTTTTTTTGCATGAGTGTAACTACATTTACAGTACTGTCATTCACTTGGTAATAACAAAGTGCTTTCTTAACACTATCTTAAGTAAGCCGCCAGTCACTTCTTAAGAAAAAAAGAAGGAACGAGACAACTAAAAAAAATCGAAAGAGCTTCTACACTGTCCCGGTAATCTCAGCAGCAGGGGCCACAATGATTACAGTAAAATAACCTCGAGTGGAAAGTGAAAAGCTTCCAAATGAAAAATTACTAAGGCAAAGGGGTAGAGGTAGAGAGCCTCTGTGTGTGGAATAAATGAAACCTATGCGACAACGATATAAATGGCTTGTCTGCGACAAACTAACATGTTTAATGGTTATGTTTTCGCGAAAGCGAAATCAACTATCCAGCCAAGCAGAAAAGAATTGAAAACGCCCACACACTCGTAACATGACACCCGAAAGGGAGACAAGGCAGCAGAACAGCCAACAATGACAGCGGTGACAGCAATTTTGTTGTTACCACAGCTTCTACCATCAGTTTTCAAGGGTTCTTCTTTCTTTCAAATCGAACTGATGGCAAATGAACATTAACAACCTTTTAAGCCGCAACAGCAGCAACAAAAAATGGTCTAATGGCTGTGAAATGGCAACAAATCCACAACTTCAGAGTTAGCAGAAGATAATATTTGCAAAGTAATTTTTCGTTGGCAACATTTAAGTCTTGCACACGCAGAGAAAAACAATTATCAACAGCCTGGAGGTGGTAGCCTAACAAAGTCATAATCTAGAAAATTGTTTTAAATTAAGTTGTTGTGCGAAAATGACTGCTGGGCCTGGGCTAAAAAAGAAGAAATATTCCAACGCTCACGCAAAACAGTAGTGGTGTTGTTGTTTGGTAATAAACATAATAAGTAATTTTTAAAACGCTTTTTAAAATGTTCGCCCGCCAAAGGGAAATGGAGATATGTATTTCAGCTGTTTTGAGAAAATAATTATATTCATTAACGGTATTTTATGCGCGAAGAAAAGATAAATGAGTCAAAACCATGCGTGTTTGTTGTATTTTTCTCTTTGGCATGGCAGAAAAGATAAGTACCCTCATCTGGAGGTAAATTTGAAGAAGAGAAGCCTGCTAGGGTTCGTAAAGGTTGGGGCACTTTATAATGTTGATAATAATGCAATTAAGGAAGTAAAAAAGTTCGCACATGGAAATTCTTCGTAAAATTACTTCATGAATTAGAAGTGGGTAGAAAAGTTATACAAAATTTGAAGAAGGTGTTATTGAAGACTGTTTTCCTGAGGAAAAAAATATTTTCTATGAATGATAGGAAGATGGTGAAATTAAGAACTGGACAGTGGATTTTTAAAAAATATTTTTCTAACACCCTAGTGGACTTCTTCTAAATAATACAAAAAATTTAAAAATAATTTTCAATGGACAATTAGGGTTACACATGTATATTAAAAAACATTTTTTAAACTCCTATTAGGGTTATATTTGTGGATTTTAAAGAAAAAAGACTATCAGGGAAACAAGGATTTTTTAAAATTAATTTTAAATGAATATTTACAATATTTTTTTAATATTTTTGAAAAATATCTTTAATAATACATTTTTAGTCTTGATGATGCCAGATGGTACCTTAAAACATTTTTTTTAAAAATAATTTCGTTTATAACCCAGACGCCCCTTGAAAGATATTCTTTTAAAAGCTATGATTATAACCCTGATGATCCATTAAAAAATACTTTCAAAAAATTAGATTTTAAAATTTTTAATTTTTTTTAGGGATTAAAAAATTGAATTTTAAGAATATTTTTCAAAGGCTAATCAGTGATATAAATCAGGAATCTTAGAGAAGAATTTTAAGAATAATTTTTATAAATCCATTTCTTTTGCCCTGACACAAATGTGGATTTTTAAAAGAAAGAATTTCAGAGTACCATCAGTGCTGCAAACGTGGATTTTTAAAGAATATTTTTCAAAGGACCATCAGACTTACAAACGTGGATTTTTAAAGAATATTTTTCAAAGGACCATCATACTTACCAACTTAAATTTTTAAGAAAAAAAATTTCAAATGACCATCAGACTTACAAACGTAAATTTTTAAGAGAAAAAATTTCAAAGGACCATCGGACACACACACGTGTGAAAATGGATCGAGAGCTGAAAATATCGCAATATTCCATTCGGCAAATATTTAAAAATGAGCTCGGGGTAAAGCCTTTAAAATTCCAAAAAGTGTAAGAACTTAGACCGCAACAGAAAGAAAATGGACTCAAAAGAGCTAAAGAGTTGCTTCCCTTGGCTGAAAGTGGTGAACTACCGAATTTGGTTTTCTCCGATGAGAAAACATTCGTTGTCCAGTAGTCCAGCAGTTTGTAAACAAACAAAATTCTCGTGTTTACTTGCCAAAGAGGTTAGTTGAAAATGTACTCCTTCGGTTGGCCACCAGAACTCAAGCCCCGGCCATGGTGATGGTGTGGGCCGCCATAACAGCAGATGGTCGCTCTCTGCTCGACCGTGGCATTAGAATAAATACCGAATATTATCGCGAAAATATTCTTGAGGGTGTATTAAGGCTTTGGGAATGGGCCAAAATACCGCAGAGCAACATTTGCACAGTTTTTTTTGCAGTTTTTTTTATTCTCACCCTGATTTTGTTGCAGTTTTTTTTTATTCTCACTCTGTATTTCCTAAAAGACGATAAGGACTACAATTGAAAAGTTTTCTGAGCGACCTAAGGGCTAGACTCTTGGATTTTTTAAGAATATTTTTATATTCCAACTGTATTGTATGGAGTTATAAACATTTTCAGAAACAATTAATTGCAAGCGACGGTGGGCTACCATTTTTTTTTTTGCCTTAAAAATTTTAAAGAACCATCGAGAATTTTTTAAGATTTTTTTCACAATTGCGAATTGATTGAAATGTTTTTCAATGACTATCAGAACCACAATCTTGTATTTTCCACAAAATTTGCGAGAATTATCAGAATTACTACCCAAACTAAGAACAATCTAGGATTTTTCAAGCACAGTTGTTTCAATGTTTAAATCTCTTTGAAGCCATAAATGCGAATTTTTTACAAAACTTTTTTTTTAAGGATGTGTAAGAACTACTCGTGTTATTGTTGTGGATTTCTCCCAAAATATATTCTTAAGATAATCATTCAGTCATTCTCATTTGTTTTTTGAGAATAATTTGTAATAATTAATTACAGCTTTGACATGAAAAAATCCTCTATTTTTGACATGTAGTTTTTAAAACATATTCTTAAATAAGACTCGATTCCTTGGCATGAAAACAAAAAAAGAAAGAAACAGGAAACATCTACGATTTCTTGGCATTAGAATCTTCCAAAATCTCGATTTTTCAGTCTCGTTGGGTTTTCGGAGTAATTTGTGAAGATTAATCAAAGCTATGCCCAAAAGAAACATCTAATTCTTGGCATGAAGTCCTTAAAACATATTCATAAAAATCCTCTAACTTAAACATACTCTCGAAAAGAAAGGATTTAAAAGCTCAAAGCTATTAACGCAATTTATCATGTGGGTTATAATCAGAAGATCATTTTAAAGTAACAATTTTTTATAAGATTTTGAATGGATTTAATTTGTGATTTTGGCGCAACAATTATTGATTTCTAAATAATGTATTGAAAGACTATAAGAACTTTCAATGTGAGTTTCCTTGATTTCACCAAATTTGATTGATTTAGTTTATTATTTAATAGCTTATATTCCTTTTCTGTGGTTTTCCTCTTTCTAGCATTTGGGAAAGTATGTTCTTGAAGTACGCTGTAATAATTATACTTCCCAAATTATATTTAGAACCACAATTGTTTATTAGTAGATACAGCTGATAAGCGTTCGGTGGCAGAGCTTCAATAGGCTAATGTAAAAAATCATTAATCATATAATTTATGTTTGGGAAACAAATTTAAAAAGGCGTACGTAATGACCAAAGAAGCGTAACTAACTCAGAATTAAAAAACACAAATTATAATTAACAAGAAAATTAAGGCATACAAATCATGTGAACAACAAAAATTCACTAGAAATCAAAACAAATTGGTAAAGACTAAGATATCGTAATAATACACAATTACCGAAAATGGCTTGCAATATTTTCAAAATAAATTACTAAACTCCCATTTATTTGCTTTTTAAACTCTTTTCAGAAATTAAAACTGGAAAAAATTGGCAACATTCCAACAATTAGAAATTAAAGCATTCAACAAAACAAATTCCAAAGAAACCAAAAGTTTTGTAACAAAACATAAAGCAGAAAAGCTCATTTCGTAAAGAAAGAAAGAAAGAAAGAAAGAAAAGAGGAAGAAAAACAAACGCGACAAAAAAACAATAAAAGAATAATGCGACTTAGATTTCACAATTCCAATAATAACAAACACCAGATGACAATGTCATCAGCCAGTCTAAGTTTTGTCTATATTTCATTGCTGTGTGCAGTGATTTTAAGTCCACACTTAACAGAGGCAGTCAGAAGATCACGGCTGGACTTAACATCCACCGCCACTAGTACAACAAATAATGCAGCGTCAGAGGCGTCTGGCTCCGAGCCGGCAAAGGCAACATTAGAATCCGATTCTCAGGCATTACCTTTAAAAAGTGATCAATCATCAGCATCATCGGCTGGCAATGATCTATCGAAAACTGCCTCCGACACAAAAGATGATACCCAACTGTCAATGACGGCAAACAATGATGATGACGATTTAAATGATGGCAATGATACTAAACCAGCCTCTAACACAAACTCAGCTGCTGCCCATTTGCCTGAGGAATCTATTTTGAATGATGATGACAAAGATCAAAGTGACGATTCGCCAAAAGAATTGAAAGAAATCCCCACCGCCAGTTTTGAAGATGCTGAAATTGTTGAAAGTGCCACTCAATTTGGTTCGTATGGATCAGCAGCTGGAGCCAGTCCAGCAAGCAATTCTGGTGGCAATAGTTTTGAGGAATGCGACCCGGAAATGTTGGGTTTTGAAATTGTGACTGGGTAAGTTTAATTTTTTTGGTAACAACAATTCGGTTCCTATTTAAAGGGAGGGCTTAAAAATGTGACAAAATATTTTCCACTTGCTTTTCATCTTTAATTCTAAAAATTACCGCTTTTTTAAATTTTTACAAAAAAGAAAGCGTCGATTATATCTGAAAAAAATACGTTTGAATGTCAAATGCGCAAAATTTGTCAGAAAAAGAGATTCACCATTTTTTTTACATAAAGTCCTTAAAACGATATTCTCAATTTTTTTTTTTTCGTTTAATTTTTTGAAACAAATCAAACTCATATTTCTGTTAGGAAGTTCCTACAAAGTGCGAATTCTTGGCATGGAGTCCTTAAAAAAATATATATTCATTCATTTAATTCATTAAACATTTATTAATTATTTATTGAAACGAAGTCCTTAAATAATAGTAATAGTGATGTAAAAATTGTGATTTATTTGCATGAGATCATTAAAAAATTCGAAAAATCCTCGATTTTTTGGCATGAATATCGTAGAAGATTCTCTTGAAAAATATTCGACTCTCTAGCATGATGACCTTAATAAGTTTTTTGAAACATTCTTCACATCTTGGGATGAAGACCTTAAAAATATTCTTTAAAAATCCTCGATATCTTGGCAGGAAATATTTAAACATATAATCACTCATTTCTTGGTATGAAGACCCCAAAAAAATTATTTATTTCGAATTCTTGAAATATACATGAAATTTCTACAATGTCTTGGCTTTGATATTTTTCCAAAATTCTCCAGATACAAAAGTCCAACGGATCGGTATCCGGAGAAACCTCATTATGTACCAATTTTTGGGTGGCACATGCTGAGTCCTGTTGGAATGTCCAAGGTCTGCGGTCAAAATGTTTGTGTGCACAAGGCTTCGGCAATTATTCTGATGCCACGGTAGATAAATACGAACGGAGAGCGATCATCGGCTGTTATGGCGACCCACACCATCAAAATGGCCGGCTTGAGGCTTGAGTTTTGGTGGCCAACCGAAGGTCCACATTTTCAGCTGACCTCTTTGGCGAGTAAACACGATCATTTTGTTTGTTTACAAACTGCTGGGCAGCGGATGTTCCTACATCGGAGAAAACCAAATTCGGCAGTTTACCACTGTCGGCCATGCAAAGCAACTCTTTAGCTCTTTTGAGTCTATTTTCTTTCCGTTGCGGTGTAAGTTCTTGCACTTTTTGGAAATTCAATGGCTTTACCCCGAGCTCATTTTTCAATATTTGCCGAATGGAATATTGCGATATGTTCAGCTCACGGGCCATTTTTCGGCCACTGCGACGCAGGTTTCGAACAAGTCGCTTCTTTACTTTTCGAACCATTTCTGCTGATGTTGCTGTTTTCTTCCGTCCACTTCCTTGACGTCAGGCTACGTTACCAGTATCACGGTAACGAGCGATGGTACGAGACACAAAAGATTAATTCACATTCAAATGGTAGAGTGCTCTAACGATATTCACTTGTGGTTTTCCAGGCAAATATAAAGAAATCACACTATCACGCTTGAATTCCATCACGAATAACTTTTTTCTGGTAAATTCTCACCAAAATGTTTTTGTGCGCTTGTAAATAATAAGCTGTCACTGGAATAATTCCAGCAGTTGTCGGAAGACTGGTCCTTCAAAACATTTTTCAAAAAAAATTGCAATTGTTGTCCGGATAGGCCTTGAATTATTTGAACACTTCAAGATCCTTAATCGGAAAAGCTTTGAAAATGTTTTTCTGATAAAAGATTTACGAAAATATTCCAATGTGCAAAGTTAAAAAAATCAAGGACTAATTTTGCGACTTTGGAATATTTTAGAACCCCCTGAGAGAAAAATATCAGAAGTCTATCTAAAAAATCTCGTTAAGGCCAACAGACACCACTGGAACCAGTCCAGATGCCCAGAAACGGACATATTTCGTCCAAAGAGATAAAAGACCAAATACCGTATGTTTGGATATAGGTTTAGATATTTTATCTACCTAAGGAGAAAATAGCCGGCTTAGACGGTGTAAAGCTGGCATAAAAGCTCAAAATCTCAACCTCTTTAATGTTATTTTTAGGTGGAAAAGGAATAAGAAAAAAAATCTCATAGCAAATTCAGACTACCAATTTAAATTTTCGTTTCCACAATTCTTACAAAAATTACAATTTCTTGTGAAGATTACACAGCAATTTCCTGGCATTTCTGATAACATTTATCATTCATATAGCAAAATCTCTCTATTTAAAATTTCGATTTTTTTACTTTTTCCCATCAAAATATCAACTTTAAAAGAGAACATCAAAAAAAATTAAGTTATCCAATCACTGTATCTAATTACAAATTGTCAATTCATATACGGCAATGTATGGCCAGCAGAAACCACATGTATGAGTTGTAATAAAATGGCATGTATTGTCAACATTTCCGTTCATTAATCACTTATATGAGATGGCGGTCAGAAGAAAGACATAAAAGCTGTGGAATGAGATATTATGGGATTCTGCTTGGTTTTATTTTTTATCTTTTTTTTGGCAAAAGAAGCCGAAACCAAAAAAAGGGGGGAAAATAAGAACTGCCTAAAGCAAAGCAAACAAACCACAAATTTGATACAATATTTCCGTAATTAAAGTTCTTAATGATGCCATTAAATGTTGTACACCACAACATGTTTAAGCTGGTTAGAAAAAGGAAAGAAATGTCAGTTGACTTGAGAATTAAGTAAAATAAACATATGAATGTTATCATACGTACTCTGGAAAAATGAACTTTATCATAAAGAATTTGCAAGCCTTCCCTAAGGGTGTAATGAAGTTGAATAGTAGATTTTTACTCTTTCTCATAAATTGGAAAGTTCGTAAACTCTCATTAAGGGGAAGTCGAAAAAAATTGGATATTTAGATGATGATTTAGTTTTTTATAATCTAATACTGATAAAAATATTGGTATGGGCAAAATTACATAAACATCGAACATTTATGCGACACCATATATTACATATTCATCTCAGGTTTCCGGCTGAGAAAAATATTTCGATATAGCAAGTTGTAAGGAATCGCTGACTTGCTTCGCCAGATTAAAAATTGTGAGCTTTTGTGGGTTAGGTACGAGAAGGGGATCGTAGATAGAATCTTTAGACTGCTGTCATTTCTAAGCCACTCGTCCGACAGCTGTTAAATTATTCCAGTGACAGCTTGTTATATTGTTTACATGCGTACAAAAGCATTTTGGCGAGAATTTTAAAGAAAAAAGGTTAGTAAGAGACAGAGTGATTTCTTTATTTTTGGCTGGAAAACCACAAGTGCCTATCATTAGAGCACTCCAGCATTTAAATGTGAATTAATCTTTTGTATCTCGTACCATCGCTCGTTACCGTGATACAGGTAGCGTAGCCCGACGTCAAGGAAGTGGACGGAAGAAAACAGCAACAACAGCAGTAATGGTTCGAAAAGTAAAGAAGCTTGAAGAAGACTTAAGACTTAATATAAACCCGCGTAACAGTGGCCGAAAAATGAGTCGTGAGCTAAACATATCGCAATATTCCATTCCGCAAATATTGAAAAATGAGCTCGGGGTAAAACCATTGAAATTCCAAAAAGTGCAAGAACTTACACCGCATAAGAAAGAAAATAGACTCAAAAGAGCTAAATAGTTGCTTCGCTTGGCCGAAAGTGTTGAACTGACGAATTTGCTTTTCTCCGATGAGAAAACATTCATTGTCCAGCAGTTTGTAAACAAATAAGATTATCGTGTTTACTTGCTAAGGAGGTCAGCTGCAAATGTGCACCTTCAGTTGGCCACCAGAATTCAAGCGTCGGCCATTGTAATGGTATGGCCGGCATAACAGCCGATGGTCGCTCTCCGCTCGTATTAATCGAACGTGGCATCAGAATAAATGCCGAATATTATCACGAAAATATTCTGGGGAGTGTATTAAAGCCTTGGGCAGGAAACATTTTGGCCGCACCTTGGACATTCCAACAGGACTCAGCAGCAACATCGCACTCAGCGCGCGCCACCCAAGAATGGTTAGAAAATGAGGTTCTCGCTTCATTTCCAGCGCACAATGGCCACCAAAATCTCCGGTTACCGGAGAGTTGAATGCTCATTCCGCTTTCTTTGAGTGATTTGTTTTAAAAAGTTTTGAACCTTGTGTGGCGGAGGTACCAAAAGAAATAATCCTATCTCTACCATCTTTATAACTGATTTTGTGTTAAAGCAAAAATTGAGACGTACTAAGTCAGAATGGAATCGGATCTTAATTTCGCGTTGTGTGAGCTTCATAGATATTCAATATTTTGACGCTTTGTAGGGGAGGTACTGGAAGGGGTGAACCGATACATCATATCTTCACAGCAGATCTTGTGTTAGTAAAAAAATGGAATGTGTGAAATTACGAAGAGGACTGGATGTTTATTTCAAGCTTCATACAAAACTTTGAACCTTTGTGGGGGAGGTACTAGAAGAAATTATCCTATCTACACCATCTTTATATTGTGTTGATAGAAATATTGAGATGTACCAAGTCTGAATGGAATCGGATGTTAATTTTGCGTTTTATCAGCATTATGGATATTCAGAGTTTTGACCCTTTGTGGGGGATGTACCAGATACCGTAACGATATATTCCGTAACGACATCAGACCTTGGGTTAATAAAAATATTGTGAGGTTTGTAATTTGAAGACAAGCGGACTCTTACATCACATTTTATAAAAGTTACAATTATTCAAAATGTTGACCCTCAGCGGAGGAGGTATTTGATGCAGTGAATAGATATTGTCCTTTTTCACACCTGACCTAGCATTGATGCAGATATTAGGATTTGCAAAGTCGGAGCCAAATCGGATTATATCCTTTCTGTTCCTATGCAGTAAAATATTTATTTTTGGACAATTTTGACTTTTTGTGGGGGAGGTACCGGAAGGTGAGGGGTGTAGAAAAACTTTAAAAAATTTAAAATTCAAAATTGTAAGTCAAATTGAAAAAATCGCATGCGATAAAAAATATAAAAAAAATCAGAAAAAATATTAGGATTTGCAAAGTCGGAGCCAAATCCGATTATTTCCTTTCTGTTCCTATGCAGTAAAATATTTTTTTGGAAAATTTTGACTTTTTGTGGGGGAGGTACCGGAAGGTGTGGACCGATATTGCTTATCTCAGAACTCGATCTAAGTTTGTTAGTAATATTACGATGTACCAAATCGGAGACTCCCTTAGAGAGTTATCGTGCCCACCAATCAGCAAACAGAGGGACAGACAGAAAAGCGGACGGACGGACATTGCAAGATCGACTCCAAGTGTCCTGCAACGAATGTGGTCCAAAGAGACCTTGGCACTAAAACCGTTCTTTCGATGCGGCACGTTTTGGCCGTATTAAATGATATGTACCCTCTCCCTTAAAGAGGAAGGATATCAGTCTAGCCATATGACTGAGGGTATAACAACTTATATTTCTTGTCTTTAATATCTTTCACAACTCGAATCTCTTGCCTAGCAAAATAGTTGCTATATTTCATTAGTTGCAAACTGCATTAGAGCTTATCAAACTTTTACTCACCAAAATCAAAAAGTTTCATTAAGAAATACCAAAATGATGGATCTCTTTGCATTTCTTCAACATTAAATCCAAATCACACTCATTAGAATCTAGACAATCAGAAAATCCAATATAAATCTTGATTACTTACCTGCAATGAAAGAACAAAGAACACAAAAAAAATATCAATAGAATGTTAGGAAAAACAGGTTAAAAACTACAGTTCGACAAGGTTCTAACGAACTCTTTTCAAGAACAACAACTCATTTTTTCCAGATTTTGTATCAAAAATATTATCTACTGCAAGCCAAACTCGAAATAATCATCATAACCATTACCCACTGTCTCTCAAACAATCGAATTAATAAACAATCTTTCTTCTTCTCCGCGAACTTCTTAAGGATATCTCAAGAAAAAAAAAACAAGTCTTCCAAATAGATAAGATTAGAAGAAAGAATAACGTTATATTTGATTGCGGTTTTATGTTCAAAAAATAGTCTACGAATATTCGAGTGGAAATGGAAAAAGTCGAAACAAAAACAACAATGGAGGAATGGTCATTGTTGAGGTAGTTGATGCTGTCATCGTCTGACTTAAATTCAATCAATAAGAAAAAGAAGAGAGAGAGAGAAGAGGAGGAAGGATCTGGCAACAGTTGTGTATATGTAGTTCAAATCTTCAAATTGCATTGATTTTTATTATTGTTTGTTGTTATGGTATTATTACATTGCATTTCCTTTGGAAAAGAATGACTGAGTGCTGTGAGAAGCCTTACAATGTGGCAAGGTAAACGCGTGCCCCAAAAAATCAAGTTTGTTGCCTAAGTCTTTCGTTTTTGGAATTTTTTCGTTGTTTTGTTTTTACCTCAATTGGGCATTTTTGGCTGAGTTTATGTAACAGTTCTATAATATTTCTTTGTTTGAGGGGTTTTAACAATCATCAGCCACAACAAGAACAGCAATTGCAATCAAATAAATATTGGTGGTCTTCAATTGGCTTGGGCCCTCCTCCACCATCCACCCCTCTTTGAAATTACAGTTTCTTCACAAAATTGTATCGCAAAAGAACACAAATTTGCCATTTCGTTCTATCTTGCAGACATTTTAACACAAAATTTGTTATAGTTTTAGGCAAGCAGATAGGCAGGCAGGCAGGCGGCAAGGCATTCAGTCATCGCATTTGGCCACAACAAATGTACAAAAATAAGTTGTAACTGTTATTTTGTTATTGGCCAAATTAGACAGAAAGCGATTTCAAGAGTACAGCTATTTATTGGCTTAAGGATACGATCTTAAAGCGTTGGCAACAAGTAGATGGGATACAACAAGTAACTGCATTGCTTTGAAATTATGGCCCAATAATATTAAGCGGATTTGCAATAATAAATTGAAATTATATTTTGGTCAAATCAAAAAGAGGTAAACATTTTCAGTGGAAAATGTTAGGAGAATAGATACATAGGTTGTGCTGTTTGTTTAAATTGAAAGATTCCGTTAATGAAATCGGGGAACATTGAAGTCTTCAAAATAAGAGTAAAACACGGACAACAATCGAGACATTCTTTAGTCTAAAACAAGTAAGCAAATGCTATAGCAGTGCGCGGGGCCGACTATGTGATATCATACAACACTAAACTATGTTGAAAGCCCACATATTTCAAAATCGTTTTTGGAAGCTTTTGAAATTATGTCATAGAGCCCTGCCCAGATATTACCGTTAACTTAACTTTTTGAATATTCAAAACAATTTCACACGAAAGTTGTGGTCTATTTTACAGCTAAATATAATCTAATGGTCAACCAAAATGCTAGAGTTCTTCTCTGTCCTTAACTCTGTTCTCATACAAAATTCCGCGTCGATTGGTTTTCAATTACGACCTGTAGAGCGATTGCAAAATCAAAAAAAAATTTTTTTGATCCATTTAAACCCCTAAATTTACATCTTTAAAAGCAGTGGTCTTTAATTCTGACCCCCATGCTAAATTTCATGAGGATCGGACAATAATTACGACCTGCATATAATAGTGTTGGGGGTGTAGAAAAACGTTAAAAATTTTAAATTCAAAATAGTAAGTCAAATTGATAAAATCGCATGCGATAAAAAATATGAAAAAAAAAAATAAAAAATGCAGAAAAAATATTTACTTTTTTTGCCGTCATATTTTCAAGCGATTTTCTTAAATTTTATCCTTTTCTGGCAAGAAACCATTCCGAATTGTTGAGAATTGTGAAAATTTGACCAGCGGATCTTGAGCAAAATAGCCAAGATCTACACAGGGTGAGATGAAAAAACTGCAGTCAACTTTAGACTGCTGTCATTTCTAAGCCACTCGTCCAACAGCTGTTAAAATTATTCCAGTGACAGCTCATTATATTGTTTACAAGCGTACAAAAGCATTTTGGTGAGAATTTTCCCGAAAAAAGTTATTCGTGATGGAATACAAGCGTGATAGTGTGATTTCTTTATATTTGGCTGGAAAACAACAAGTGGATATCGTTAAAGCACTCCAGCATTTAAATGTGAATAAATATTTTGTGTCTCGTACAGTGCGACGTCAAGGAAGTGGACGGAAGAAAACAGCAATATCAGCAGAAATCGTTCGACAAGTAAAAAAGCGACATGATCGAAATCCGCGTTTCAATGGCCGAACAATATTCCGTTCGGCAAATTTTGAAAAATGGACTCGGGGTAAAGCCATTGAAATTCCAAAAAGTGTAAGATCAGCAAGAAAATGGACCCATGTTTACTTGCCAAAGAGGTCAGCTGAAACTGTGCACCTTCGGTTGGCCACCAGAACTCAAGCGCCGGCCATGGTGATGGTGTGGGCCGCCATAACATTCGATGGTCGCTCTCCGCTCGTATTAATCGACCGTGACATCAGAATAAATGCCGAATATTATCGCTCGGACTTAGCACGCACCACTTTAAAAATACCAAAATGTCGATCACCTCAAGCAAACGCTTCGCCGGGAATGGGCCAAAACACTGCAGAGCAACATTAGGGCAGCGTGAGACGGTTTCATTAGCCGTTTGAAAGCCATAATTTGTGTCAAAGGTGTAGAAAAACTTTAAAAAAATTAAAATTCCGAATTGAAAAAATCGCAAGCGATAAAAAATATAACTAAAATTAAAAAAAATAAGAAAAAATATGTGCGGACAAATTTAAACCTATTCTAAAATTTGATGCTATTTCCGACATTTTTTGCTTTCACTCAATTAAATTTAGAGAAAAAAATGTAAAAATTATGGCGTTTGACTTTGCTGCAGTTTTTTATCTCATTCTGTATAGTTTCCTATGTCAGGGATCAATATTTCGAGGTGTCAATAAATGTTAGTCCAAACTTATTATACCCCAACACATAGTGTTATAAAGTATAAACAGTCCTCTCCCCATATTTATCATAAAATTATTTATTTATAGCCTTTCTTAATGCCTCTGTCTCCAACTCCAAGTCAATGAAAACAATATTCCTCATTGATTATAGATTATCAACACGTATAGGAGTTTAGTAACAAGTTACGCAACACAATTTATCAATGCTATCTCATCGACAATATCCCGGAAATCTCCAAGCAGCAGTAAAAAAAATACTTATCAATGCTTATCGTTGAATTCATTTATTCATTTCTTTCTCTCTATTTGTTGCAGTTATGTCTTTTCGGCACCTGGCAAACTTCTGGACTCGCTGCCGGGCACATTAATGTTAACCGATTGTTTGGAAGCCTGTCAAGGAAACGAAACTTGTCATGCCGTTAATTATGAAACTGGTCTCTGTGTACTATTTTCAGCTAATGCCGATCAATTACCAGGTAAGATTTGCATAATTAGAAAAAAATAGAAAAAAAAATTGAAAATTAAGTTAAGACGATGTAGCAGATACTATCCCTATCTTCTATGTGTGAACATGAATCAATTGAAAAGATTAACGGCTTGAAATCCTATACTCCCATTAGAGGGCTCATAAAATTATAGTTTATGATGTTTGCAATTAATAAACGCTTTTTTTATTGCGCCAAGCATATCGTGAGGAGTGAGTGATTGTGCGTTCTCATAAAATAAGAGGTCTTGCGCATTTAACAATAATTGAATATAATTGTTACATATGCTGTTAAAGTGCTGATATGTGCGTTAATGTAATTGGCGAATTAGTTTCCCATCACGATTAATGCTAACTTATATTTATGGGATAATCAGATTTTGATAGCAGAGTTCATTTTTATTCATTTCACTTGGGATTTGAATGTAGAGAGAAATAGAGGGTATGAGTAATAAAAGTGGTGTATTTTTTGTTATTTTCTGTTGTTATGCTGAAACTGACTCCTATTTTTTCGAGAATGGATATTAGACCCTGCTGTGGACTCGGAATAATAAATTTCCTCACATAAATTGTAAAACCAGTAAGGAAAAGTCAAAATTCGGGCAGTGCCGTCTATATGATCCCCTACACCACTATACATATTTAGTAATAAAATACTTTATTTCAAGTAGATTATACCACCTATCAACATTTGGCTTTAGATCAGTTATAGTTAGCTATAGAGTGCATGATATTACTTGGAGAAGAATAATATTAAAAAAAATATATATCGGAGCCGAGTTGCACAAAATAGAAACCTACGTCCCGAAATTCACTTCATTGGGGCTGATATTAACCATTATTTGCACAATAAACTTGTAATCGGATTAAGGATATATATGTGAGGGACTTAAACACCAAACCGAATGGAACATATACATATATTGTATTTTAGCAAGATTTTCATTTCCTGGTTCATTGCAATACCGAATTACAGGCCATGGAAAATGTGGCTAGGAGCATATTTGGCCCACTAATCCGAAATGTCAAATCACAGCTAGGACCTCCAAAATATCAGCATACTTTTTCGTTTGAACCCGAAAAAATATATTATGGTCCATTCTATTAAAAAATATATTGCTATTGTAGCCAGTAAGGACAAGCTTTTTCAATTCGATAGAAACAAGTAAATGAAAAATTTAGTATTTAGGTCTTCTCTTTAATAGACTCAGTCATCAAGCTTTAGTCCATTCTTCCGAAAAAGATATATATTTTTAGGTCTTTAAAAACCAATAGTTGAGATATATATTTCCTCCCTTCTGAAATAGCAAAGGAGCCAATTTTTTTTTTTTTTTTTTTTTTTTTTTTTGGGTAATATCCCAAAGGCCATTCTATCCATTGTTGAAAACTTCAGTCCATTCCACCGAAAAATATATATTTAGGGTCATCAAAATATCAATAATGAAGCTGGATATTTCCATCCACTGGAGATGTTACTGAAGTGCCAAATAACCAATTTTACTGTGTAAGAATCCTAGGACGATAAAATATCTCATTGAGTTACTAGAGGCTACTGAAATAAACTTTTTGAGAATAAGTTTTCTACCTAAGGTCAGCCAAGAATGTGTATTAAGATCAACTTTATGTTCAAAATTTGGATATTAAAACAGTTAAAGTCAGTATTCGATAATCATAGATATTTAGATGAATCACTTAGAACAAGTGAATATAAAATTCGGCGTATTCTCATAGACCTGCTGCTGACGGGACACTTGTTGCCTTTACAATTTTTTGTATATTTTACTGGAAAAAGTTATTTTTTAGATTTCCTGATATGATTTTGAAATTTATTTATGTGAATGTCCCTGTCGAAGTAGGGTTGTTTCATAGCTATCCCCTTTTCGAAGATTTGACCGTTTATGGTGGGAGTAACCAGAAGGACTAGGTCGAAAACCTCCATATCAAGAATTTACCTACAGAAATGAAGACTCCCAACTGTGGAGCTAGCCTTCAGAATTGAAGACTCCCTGCTTAAGAGCTCGCCTTCAGAAAATACTTTCAGACCCAGAGCTCGCCTATAGAAAGAAGACTCTCTGTTTCAGTGCTCATCTGTAGAAAAGAAGACTCTCTGTTTCAGTGCTCATCTGTTGAAAAGTAGACTCCCGTCTTCAGAGCTCATATATCGATAAGACTGTCAGCTTCAGAGCTCGGCTTTAAAAAAAAGACTAACTACTTTAGAACCCGTCTTCAAAAAAGAAGCCTTCTTGCTTTAAAGTTCGCTTTCAGAAAAGAAGATACTTCCTGTTTCAGAGCTCGTCTTTAGAAGAGATTACCTGCTTCAATTGTCTTTAGAAGAGACTTCCTGTTCAGAGCACGTCTTAAGAAAAAGACTCCCTGCTTCAGAGCCCCTCTATAGAAAAAGACTCCTTGCTTCAGAGCTCTTCTTTAGAAGAAACTCCCTTCTTCAGCTCGTCTATAAAAACGACTCCCTGCATCAGTGTTCTTTTATAGAAAAGAATCTCAGCTTCAGCGCAGCTATAGAAAAAATATCCTGTTTCAGCTAGTCTACTCGCCGCATCGACTCGAGAAAAAGTCTCCCTCCTTCGGCTCGTTTATAGAAAAACTTCCAGCTTCAGCTCGTGTATGGAAAAAGACTCGCCATTTCTGCACGTCTATACAAATTTGCTGTTTCAACTAGTCTACCAAGAAGACTCGGCGCTTCAGCTTGTCTATAGAAAAAGACTCGATTATAGAAAAAAAATCTTTTTTCTTCAGCTCGCCAATAGAAAAGGCTCTATGTCAAAATTTCATCCCATTTGAAAAAAACTCCACATGTTTCAAAGCAAGGTAGAACACATTCGATTGTAGATCATATTATTCGACCTCCTTTGGTAACTTCTACACAGAAAAGTTTGACATTTTCATAAAGGTAACAATAAGTCACCTCCAAATTTGGTCCGGTATATGTTCATAGTGGTTCACATTTTGGGATAAACTTAAATTTTATATGCAAGCCAAAGCTTATGCAATGCATATATTTTGTATATGCAACGGTATTTGTAGTGTGTGCAAATTTTGTGTGGGTTTTAAAAAAAAAATGGCATTTGCAATTGAGTATTTTCATGAGACCGAGCTTATAAATTAGCCTTTTTTTACATTAGCAAACTTTCCATAAAAAAGGTATGACAAATCAGCTATAGACATTTCACTTACTGAAACTGTCAGACTGTCGTCGTTTCAGCGAAGTGTTGTGTGTCTGTGTGAAAGTGTATGACCAGATTTGTTTTCTACAAGAACTTTTCATTTCTAAACACATTGTCAACATTTTCCTTTACACTGATATTGATTTCATTTCATTTGTTATGCATCCATTTTTTACGCCTCTGCCTCTTTTTTCTCTCTTTCTTCTAGGTGCCTTAACCAAATCACAGTTCCCTGTCTTTACCATTTATGCCCAAAAGTCATGTCTGGGTGTACGACCATGTGCACGTGCCTGGTGTGTTGATCGTGTGCAAAACTACAAACTGAATGGCCATGCCAAACGTTCGGTGTCAGTGACATCGAGACGTGATTGTTTCGAATTATGTTTGGGTGAAGCTGAATTTACATGCCGGTAAGTGAATGAGCCGAAACGAAACGAAATATATACGTATTTAAATAAAAAGTGAAAAAAGTGCAAGTAGAAGTTAGAAGCAGGCAACAGGCGGCTTTATGCCAAAATACAAAAAAAAAACAAGAATGGAAAATAGAAAATAAAAATCTCAAAAACAGGAAAAAGTTTAGGAAAAATTCTTAGAAAAATCGTGTTGATGGCTTTTAAAGCATGACACCTTCTTGAGTATTTTTCACAAAACTTCCTGGCTGCTGATGATGCTTATGAATATCATCCGGAGGAAAAGAAGCCAGCCGAGGCAGAAGTAACATAAATTTGGTGTCATCTCCATAAGAGAGAGAGAGAGAGAGAGAGAGAGAGAGAAAAACAAAAACCTTGCAAAGCGTTAGTAAGCTGTTAGCCATGCCTGCCTTCGTTAGGCATTTGAAGAGGATGCTGTTGTTGTTGTTGTTGTCGTCATCATCATCAGCACCGCGACCAGATGACTGCTTATAAAATATGATTTTAATATCCTGCAGCTAAAAAGGAAATTAACATAACTCTGTGGCGGCAAGCGATGACAGTATTCAGATAGTACATGACTTTCGGCCATACGACCAGCCTGGCCCCTGTGATTAAGACATCCAATAATGTTTAGAAAAGCCTAAGGATGGAAAGTGATCCTTAAAACGTCATTGCCATAGACAGCCGCTCAATACATGATCAATTTTCTGAGAATTTCATTTTCTAATATTGCGTTTAAACGTTTGAGACTATTTATGGCATGGAAGCGAGGATTGGTGTAATAAGTAGACCGTGAAATATTTGGAACGTCCTATATTTTATAATTTAATTTTAATTTAGGTATCTTTTATAATTTTTTACATTCATTTAAAAATCTGGCATATTAACGTAAAATTTTATTTTAGATACATTCTTTGACTCCAATTAAAATAAAGTGCAAATATATGACACTTGCAGAATATATGATATATGCATACACTTTGCATATGCAAAAAAGTAAAAACGCTGGCCATTTTCAATTTGGCCATTTTCAGAAAAATAAAACCCGTTAAAATAATAAAAACACCGAATGTAGCCGTTGTGTTAGCGTCCCTATGACGACGTGGAACTGCAAAGGCAACTTTTGTCATAAACTATTTCAATATTCAAATGCGAAACTTAAAAAAAAATTGGTGAACAATGTAGCTAAAATCATGAAAATACCGAAAATGGGGAATATATAGGGGCTATACGAAGACGTGGACCTGCATTTTTCTGTCTCCGGTTGTAGTATCCATTACGAACTTTAACTACGATATGCGAAGCAATTCCCTTGAATAATATCGCTAAAAGAATCAAAATACCAATATCGGTAAAACCGTAAAAATACCAAATATAAGGAGGTACCGTTATATGGGGGCTATACGAAGACGTGGACCTGCACAGACAATTTTCTCTCATAAGCTGTAGTATCCATTACGAACTTAAAATACCAAATTTGAAACAATTTCCGCGAATAATGTCGCTAAAATCATCAAAGTACCGAAAATCGTGAAGTGCCCTTATATGGTGGCTATAAGAAGACGTGGACGTGCACAGATAATTTTCCGTCATAGGCTCTTGTATCCATTAGGAACATAAAATACCAAATTTGAAATAATTTCCGCGAATAATGTCGCTAAAATCATCAAAGTACCGAAAATCGGGAGGTACCATTTTATGGGGGCTACATGAAGACGTGGATCTGCACAGATAATTTTCTGTCTTATTCTGTAGTATTCATTACGAACTTCAAATACCAAATTTGAAGCGATTCCGGTGAATAATGTCGCTAAAATCATTAAAATACCGAATATGGGGAGGTACCGTTATATGGGGGCTATATGAAGTCGTGGACTTGCACATACGATTTTCTGTCATAGGCTGTAATATCTACTACGAACTTCAAAGACCAAATTTGAAACATTTCCGATGAATAATGCCGCTTAAATTACCAAAATAACGAAAATAGGGAGGTGTCATAGGCTCAAGTATCCATTACGAACTTCAAATACCAAATTTGAAACATTTCCGGTGAATTATGCCGCTTAAATTACCAAAATACCGAAAATAGGGAGGTACCATTATATGGGAGCTATAAAAAAACTTGGACCTACATTTTCTATACCAAAAGTCCTGCAGACATAATTTGAGTAAAATTTTATCGACCTACTTCATTTCGTTCGGAAGCTAGAGTGATTTCCACAGACGGACAGAAGGACGGGTATTGCTAAATCAACATAGAATTCTATGCTGATAAAGAATGTAAATACTTTGTGGGGTCTAAAGTGTATAATTCGAGGTGTTACAAACGGAATGACAAACTTAATATACCCTCTATACTATGGTGGAGGGTATAAAAAGATTTCTATATGAGGATCTCCAAACCCTATAGAACCTGCAAAAACTTCCCCTTAACAAAAACCCCCATTTAAGACCCCACCTCGTCACTGGCGTCTAAAGCTGCATGGCGTGTAGCCTGTCAGCCTTTCTTTTATTGGATTTTTCCACAAATCACGCATGTGTCTTAAGTCTTTTGTTTTGATACCCCACCACTAATCACCGAGAGTCATAGTGGTGCATGCCACCATTCGCACAGCAATTATAGTAATCATTAAATAGTTTCAAAGTCAAGTCAGTAGCCCAGAAAATCCTAAGAATTCCGTTTGACAGAAAGCCCAAAAGGTCTCTGTGTGTGCAACAATTGAGTTGAGATCCATCTCTCTCTCTCTCTTGGAACGAACGAACGTGCGGCAATTTATTGCGTGACAAAAAGAACAAAAACAACAAGTGTGATTGTATTTAAGAAGCCATTGCAAACCAGTTGCTGCAGCTCTAGCCTACCGACAAAGTCGCCACCAAGGCGTTGAATGATTTGACGAAGACAGTAGTTGCAAGTGGTAAGTGGTACGTGAGTGAGGATGCTTCAACACAATAAAATACATGTGTTGCACACACGAGATTATAAATCGACAAAATCTCACAGCATCAGCATTACCGGTTAGGAAGGTTTTAACGCATCTTCTGGGCTTTCGTATTTTTTTGCGTTGCCTGTAACGTGGTTGCTGTTCCAAAGATTATGGGTTTTTTCTCGCTCTTCGGTGTGAGGGAATAGCTGGTATCACAGCAGCGATGAAGATGATAATCATGGATCGATTTTTTCTCATTGAACTGTAATTGATTGATTTATGATATTTTCCACTTCTGTGAAAAATAAAAAGGTATTAAAAATCAATACCAATAATAAATTCTTCTTTGATAGTTTGCTTTCTATGAAATGTTTCATAATTTAAAAACTAGACAAGAATTGTCGCCACTCTCTTGGTGTCATTGCACTTTGCGAAGATTCCAGAGGAATTGACACTTTTCTTAAAAACAAATTAAACGGTAATTAATTTACCAAGAAAAATGTTCTCTATATTTTTTGACGAAGTCTGTATATAGAAATACATGTTTTAGGCAAAAGAAATAACTCTAGTTGTGAATAGAGTATATATATATGTACTCATTGACTGCGGAATTTTATGAAAAACTTATTTTTGAACCGAATGAGTTTACATTTCAAGATAAGCTGTATTTATTACACTAATTAAAATGCAAAAGGGTACTTGTAAATATATGCAAAATGCATAAATGTTGCATATGCAATCAATACTTCTTGCATATTCTAAACTCATATGCTTTTGGGATAAATATGAATAATGTTTTAATCTAATGGGTGTAGATCTCAATGGACTTTGTTTACGAACAATCAAACCATATATGCATTAGGATAGAATATTATGGATAGAATGTCAAGAGCCCTTCAACAGCCTATTGAACATGACTTTACACTTTATATTATATCGCTAGCTCACCGACAACTTATAACGTGTAAATAACTTATATCGATAAGTCATCGATTGTTATTCGATAGTAGTTTGTCGATAGCATGTTTGAAAGTTTGCCGATAACTAGCAGATATTTCGTCGATAGCTCATCGATGGCCCGATAATAGCTCATGCACAGCCCACCGATACGCCGTTGATAGTTTATCCATAGCTCATACATATATTGTCGATAGGCCATCGATAACTCGTTGATGGCTGGTCTTCATGCCGTCGAGAATTCATCGACTTATTTTGATAACGTGTCAATGGCTCGTTCACAAATCGTTGAAAGCTCGCCGATTGTTTTTAAATAGCTTGTCAATAGATTATCGATATCTCGTTAAAAGCTTACTGTCGGCACATCCAGAGCTAGGAGATAGTTCACTGATACCTCGTCGATAGCTCGTCGAAAGCATGGGGAAACTTATACATAGATAGTCAATAACTCATTGAAAGCTTCGAGAGCACATAGCTGGTTCATTCAAGACCGGTTCGATAGACCATCGTTGGTTCGATGATATATAAACGATAGTTGGTTTATAACTCATCGATAGATTATCGATACCCTATCGATAGCAAGTTGATTGCTCTGAAAGCTTTTAGATTGGACTTTGTTAGTTCCTCGATATCTCATCGAAAACTCACCGAGCTCGTTTATATCTTACCGAAAGCTCGTCGATAATAGCAGAATTTTAACAAAAATATTTAATTGGTCTTTAGCTCCATTTAGCCATTTTATGGAGGGTATATTAGCTTTGTCATTCCGTTTGTAATTCCTCGAAATATTCATATATACAGTATATATATATTCTGAATCAGCGTAAAATTCTAGATCTAGACGATGTCCGTCTGTCTGTCTGTTGTAATCACGAACGAATTGAGATAGTTGGGAGGGTATAAATCCATAAAGAATCCCAAGTAAAAGCCAATTTTATGGAATATTATGACTTATGACGAAATGATGGAACTCAAAAAGTACGGTTGAAGGATGGCTACACCAGCCAGTGAACCTTTAATGGAAAATATCTGGCGAAAGGTTTCCATCATCAAAAAATCGGGAGGGATATATATCAACGATTTTTCTCGGGGCGAAACCTATACGCTTCCTTT